CCTGCTGCGAGATGGGGGGATGTGCTTGTCGATCACGTGAAACAGCTGCGACAGCAGCTGAATGACTCCTCACATCGCCATCTTCGTCGAATCCTGAATCTACCATGGATGGCGATCGCGAAAGAAAGAAGCGAATGGTTTGTTGCTGGTGCTCGCACATGAGTGAAGACGAGCCGTATAAGTATAAGTAAGTAAGAATGGTTTTTGAGGGAGTCACTGGCAGGTGTAAGACACTTATAGTTTCGTCCGTGTCGGCGTGAAAATTGGCATAGACCAGTACTCAAGGGACATGCTGATGGAGGTAATGAAGCACTGATCCGATTTCGCTTCCTGAAATGCCCTTCCAGCAGGACCATACTCCGGCCCATCGCCAAGCTCGCTCGGGAGTGGCGCCAGCGCGAGATGCCAGCTTGCTTTTCAGATCTTAACTCACTTGGCTCCTCCGTATGATCCCTGATTAGAGGAACTTTCGGGTTTGCGGGTCCACTTTGGGGTCCTAGAAGACAAGACCCAGCTGGAAAGAAATGAAGCAGGTTGTCTGCGTGCAGCGTGCCAGGAGATCGAGAGTAAACTTTAGGCCTCTATACACGCTCATAGGGGATATTTCGAAATCTAGTTGTAGCATGTCGTAGCACATAATGCTAGCAAGCATATAGATTCCATTGTCATTCACAGCTGAGAGGCTTCAAATACATTGCCCTGAATCGGCGCTCATAATCTTGGGACACCCTGTATGACGGGTCTGAATTGTCTCTATTGCCGGGTTCAATGTTTCTAGAAGACTTCCACTATTACGAAAGTCCCTTCCTATAATAGCTGGCAGTCTCCCTGCTTCGAATGCAGATGCTGTACAATATTTCAACGTTAGTCAATCCCTTCCTATAATAGCTGGCAGTCTCCTTGCTTCGAATGCAGATGCTGTACAATATTTCAACGTTAGTCAAAGTGAGGAAAGTCAGAATAGGTAATAAGATTGTTCAACCAATGTAGGCTTGAAAGTGACTAAGAAAAGGTCTTCTGTATACTCGAAGTCTGATTGTTGATGCTGTTCCTGTGAAAACGACTGTTACGAAGGTACCGTGTCAAGGAGGTTCACAGCGCTATGATGCCTTTGACCTACTGTTAAAATCCTCCTATTTGCGTCAAAAGTTTTATCAAATCTGGCCACTCCAACGGGAACCATTTTTGACAGCAAGTCAAAAGAACACAGAATCCCGGGTCAGATTCTCGTAGAGAGACACCGTTTCTAAGCTCAGATGTCCTCATAGCCCTCTAGGTACATTTCTACAGCGGGCACAACGTTGTTATGTGATATTAAAAAAAGTTCTACATGCTGTGTACAGCATAAAATCCTGATAATTTCTCCTAAGTGAATTATATTCGTAAGCTTCATGGCTAGATACGGAACTGAAAGGCCTCCAAATGTCGTTATTTGACAAGTCTCTTCCCTGTGGTTCGGGATATGTAAAAATTAAGATCAATTCAAGGCGGGATTATCACTTGGTAGTTTATCATCTTGGCAATTTCTCAATGGGAACCAAATAAGTTGGAAAAAAAATGCTGCAGCCAGGACAACGTCCAGCCACATTCTTCTGCGCGCCACTGTATCGAATAGCTAGAGTTTTTGCATTTTTGAGAAAAAAGTTCGATCTACTCTCTTTGCTGACTATACTCTATTCATCAAACATGGAGAGTATATTGCAATCCTATGTTACTGGGACAGAGAATTGGTCTCTACAATCAACAGTTCAAGCATTTTGTAAGACACGTACTACATTGTAAAAAATCTCAATGGAATGAAATTTTGTACTTTCTAGGCGATACCAGGTTGCAGTTGGCCTACTGCACAAGGCGTAAGTGCGAAAACTATGACCAATGTCAAGTCACTCAGTATTGCCACCCTACAAAAAAAACCTGCTGCTACCTTGGTTTGTCTATTTTGATTTTGATCTCTAAACCACACATGATTGATGGCGAGCTCACTATTATTTTTAGGTATCACCAAATTAGATGGAAAAAAACATGAGAATTCTACTGTGTGTCAGGGCATTTGCCAGGAAACGAAAATTTTCGGCAAAAAAGTCCCTCAGTATTGTGTTAAACAGTCACAAGAAGGAGGAATGTGCTATGTTTCTCCTTATGTCAGTTATTCGAGGTTTCCTGTTTGCCATGACCATCATTCCATAAATTCACTAGAGTAGTACGTCAAATATGCGAGATAAAATGAGCCACAAATACCATTACCTAACACTCTCGAAAGCGCGACTGTGCACTGTAGGGAAGGGATAACGATTCTTCGATCTACACCCGCACTACTGCCTATTGAATAGTCCCCGGTCAGCTGATGGTACATACTTCCCTCTCGGACCTTTGCTTCTCTCACAATCAGAAGAAAAGATTTTTTGACGTTTCGCTCCTTCCTAAATGTATCCATGTGATGCCGCAGAAAGCAATATCGCCGCAAGAGTACGATAATACCAGCTCAGTGCAGAGGATGTCGCCACCTATGTTCTGAAGGGAGCTCTAATCCAATATATGCAGAGTGCCTTTCTGGACAACGCCTCAGAAATCGTTCATAATTATGCCCATTTTGATCGAAGCTTTCGCAATTCTTTTTGGATGGATTTAAGCTGTATCTTTTGCGACAGCAAGGGAATGTCGAAGAAAAATCGCTCTTGATTTTTCCATTAATGTTCATCAAATAATAAAGGGCTGTAGTTAGTAAACATGGAGCGCGTAAATGCATTTTCCAAGCGTTTATGACACATTATATGAAAAGCAAAATGTGAGTGAGGTTACGATCTCCTATATCACTTATACAAGTCCTCTTCTCTTCCAACTGCTGCATCAAGGCGCGATAAGGTGACTATTCGCTCCGATGTGCTTATCGATGTAACACAACGGTATATCTCGAAAAAAGAACGGAATCGTAAGTTCATCCTAAGGAACGTTTAGCAGATTCCACACGTGGAGTAAAATTACTGTATGAAAAAAATTACGGCGGTATACATCTCATTCCTAGTGGCCACCGCGTCCTGGTATTCTCCCCTTGTTTGGCGTTGATGATCGTAAACGTTGCCTCATCTGCCTGAGTGTCAAACACTGTGCTCTTTTGCTGCGTATATTGGGATGCAATTGATAAAAAAAGAGGTGAGATAAGGCATTAGAGTAAGTGGGGACAGAGACACCTGTACCTTCGGCGAGGATCATTATGAGAGTCGGAGACCTTGCTTTTGATGAGACTCGAATTTGAACTTTGCTATTCAAGCACCGTGTCGTTTCTGTCGTTTCTGTGCCACTGTCAAGAATTCTCCCACCTTTTAACTGACATTCCAACCGAGAACTATCATTAGTTCCAGGTGGATCATGTCTAGCTCACAGCTTCTAGATTTAATACCGTAAAGCTGTATGCTCGTCCTTGTCGATAATGTGAGGCTGTAACCTCTATGATTACTTTAACTGTCTTTCATGCCTGCTGCTGCGAACTGCTGTGAACAAACAGCAGCTAGAGAACTGAAATGACAAAAAATTAAAACTTGCACAAGCAAATGAACATGTACTAGTCACTCTCTCGTTCGTGAATTCACTGAGATCCATGATAGTTTTCGAGAATGCATCAGTACATACCTCCAGTCATGACATTGGGTTTTTCTATTTTTCATTCTTTTGCAACGGAACGGTTGCAGGTCATTGTTGAAGAAAAAGGTCGTCATGCAAACAGAGCGTACAAAACGATTATGATTATCGCTATAATCCTCTTCTTGGTGTTTGCCTTCTTAGCTCTGATCATGTTCGTCAATTATCGATCCAAGAACTTCTGCGACAAATATACACCTAAGAAGAAAAAGGTAGACAATTTGGCCTTGCCATTGAATTCAAACCAAATGCATTGAACATAATTGAGTACGTAATTTAGGGTAAAAAAGGCAAAAAAAGCAAAAAAAGCAAATCGTCGGGCTCTACGACAGGAGGAAAAAGTGAAGTTCGTAATGCTCAGATTTTATACGGAAGGAATTCTCTTGTCATATCCATATTATTTGTTTAACCCCTCAGGTCTCTGGTACAACTGGTGGCACCAGCACAGGAGCAAGTACAGGAGCCGACACAGGAGCTAGCACAGGAGCTAGCACAGGAGCTAGCACAGGAGCTGACACAGGAGCTAGCACAGGAGCTAGCACAGGAGCTAGCACAGGGGGTGGTGAAGTTAGCGGCACAGGCGCTTAGATACCTATACTGGTTCCGAATAAACGTGTATTAATTTTTTGAATGATGACTCCATGGTGAAAGTGAATCCATGACATACAGGACATACATGGTGTGCTGATTCACATCATCGTTTGCTTATCGTTGTGAGCAAGCGACAAACCTACTAACATTTTGCAGGTCGGAGAATAAGAAACACATTTGTTTGCACGCGTGTCGAGCTCTGATATATTTTCAAAAAACAAGCACTGGGAACATAATGACAGACAATTGTATTGCGCCTCTCTATAAGCAGCGAGGGGTGAAACGTTTCGACCGAGCAGTATCATCTATGACAATCATCTCAGCTTGCTACCGATGTGTGGTCGTGCTTCAGTTGTGAATAGCGGGGTGTATTGTTTTTGCAATCAGTGTCCTACAACCCTGTTGGTTATAGGTACTTCATTATAACTACCCACTTGCATGCTATTCTAACTACCAAGATGTTCAGTGAGACGCGCAATACAGCATGCAACTATCGAAAATCCTTGAAGTAGAGAGAGATACGCTGCAAACTGCCTGATTTTCCTGTGTACTGAAAGGAAGACATCAAAAATATTCGAAGTCACCAAACAGTACATGCTTGCACGTGACACTATACTGACTGGACTGGGACCATGCAGTCCACATGTGGACTGCAATTGTATTTTTTGTTTATTCATCTAAATTTCCACTCTTCTTCTCAAAACAATACGTCATGCCTAAATGAAACCACATACAGCGTGATTCTAGGAAATTCTAATTTTGCAATTGTAAAGGTGTTTTTTCGAAGAAGTGCATTACTTGTGAACTTTTGCTCGTTGAACAACTTCAAAAAATGAAATATTTTGAAAATACCGTCGTCATCAACATGACCAAATGCAATGCCTGTGAAATTTCCTCGAAACAATTTCTGGTAATGATTAACCCATAGGCGACCGCGCCTTTTACATTGCCCTTACATTAAGTTTTAATTTCTCTTATAGCTGTAGTTAGAAGTGAATGATTCCTGGACCACGATGCCTCAAGATTCTCTAGAAGGCTGTGAGCTCAGCCTATACTTGAAAAAATGAAAAAATTATAAGAGCACTTGATAAATAATATAAATACTACAGGAGCACGATATGGTGTGGCCCGCCGGCGGGCCATGCGGTCGTCAATGGGTTTAAATTATTAGGTTGGCAAATAAGTCCTGCGACAAAATGGAGACCTTTTTTAAATCATTTTCAAATTTTTTATATCAATCAATTTTCGGAAAAATGTTTACTAAAGAAGTCAACAACCTTCTTTTATCCTTTGAGCCAATCACTGATGCCATCTCTTCAGGAGTGAGGGAGTTGTGACTCAAAAAAGTAATTGACTACCGTTTGTGGATCACATTAAGTTACGAATTTCTTTTCCACAACGGGATGCTCAAAAGGGGAGAGCACATGGTAGGTAAAAGGGGGAACACTCCGGGAGTAGGACTGATGAGTAATTTGGAACCAATCGGAATCGGTGAACTTTTGACGTGGGGCTAAAGCAAATTTTCGACGTGCGTTGTCCTTCTGTAGCGGCCTGATTTACGGTTTGATCGCCCTTCTCTAGCCCCGTTGGCTGAATGAAGGGGTTCATAGGGGCAAGCGATTGCTGTGTCCATCCAGTCTGCGTTTAGCAACTCATAGTGGATAAATTCCTTCAACATCCACTAAATTAGGAGACGATGCTTGCGTTACCCCGAAGGCTAGTATCTCCTGCAGTGAAGCGATCCAACCGATTGTTGCCCGTCGAACGGTGAGCAAAGCTAGTAACGAATAGATTGCTGATATTTCGAGTCGCTACACCCGCGTTTTTTCCCTGGCGTGCTTAGTAGAAGGTGATGGTACGAATCGGATGTTGTCCATTCATTGACCGTAATGCTGCGTAAGCCTACACGCGTGAACTTATTTACTTATGTGTTAATTGCCTGAGGAATTTCCTACAAGTCTATCACCCTTACTACGGTGTTCACACTATTGATTCAAATTTTCAGTGCTTCAAATTTTTTGTCGCAGGACTTATTTGCCAACCTAATAATTAGGCAGTCACTAAATAGTCACGTCTTGGAACATATGTTCAGCTTAGACTATCATTAATGTGGCACACGAGTTTCCGGAAGGTGAGTCCACGAAGGGTTGACGATGTGAGACTGCGATTTTGCCTGTTAAGGCGGCTGATAGCCGCAAAAGCTATCCTTCCCACTCAATTTGTGCTCTGCCTTTGAGTTAGTCGTTTGATGTGACAAGTAGATGTCTCAATCAGTCGCGTCAAAACCTCATCGTTTAGCTACGCTAGTCGCTTCATGGTCTCACCTTAATAACCATATGGAGTTTGCATCTAGGTCGAAGGAGGGATTTGACGAGTGATTGGCGGATTTTGGGTTAATGTGGAGGAGACGATCCTGCCCGAGCTGTGGGAATCCATGTAGGCTGACATGTAGGCTCCATGTTAAGCAAGGGAAGAAGGACGAGGAATGCGTGCGCTGGAAGTATGAGTGTTGCACCCATGCCGTCAACCAGGAATTCCTCATGAGGTGAGGTACAGAATAGTGCACTTCTTCGAAAAAGTGCATGGCGGTCGCAAGAAGATCTTCCTGGCGAGCTAACTCTTCGCCTACGATCTTAGAATTGTGAAAGAGGTGGTACGGAGGGTGAATGTGAGGAACATCTTCCGGTGGACGCAGTAAATCCGTGGTGTGCGGGTTGACTATTACAGCAACAATGTGAAAAAATAAGAGGATCCGATACAGTGGTGCAGTTGGACAAGACATGTATCGTTCGATGGAAGTATTACGTTGGTCGCACTGCAGAGAGTGGCTCGTCACAGGTATACAGGATGGAACGATACTAGTGTCCGTAGAAATTCAGACGATCGTAGCTCTGTATCACTGGATGCTGTACTTTAGAGGTACGCCCTATCCGAAAGGGCCACAAGCACAGACAAAAGGGAACGTTAACAACTTGGCCAACTCTGGTTACCAGCGTGAAACGGTCAATTATTGTGAAGGATTTGTGAACTCCATGAGAGAAGAGCCATGCACGGCGCATAAAAAAGTCTTAGAGTAATTCAAAAGAGGAAATCCGTGTTCGCCGTGGCTTGAAAGGGGAGAACATAGGCAGGATAGTAACACTCATGGCAGGTAGCAGGACCAGACGCCGCCTACAGGAGGCGGAGCTTGCGCGATAGAAAGTTCCGAAAGCAGATTTCTAACTCGTGTTCACGTGGACCTAGCTGGTTGAAATTTGGTAGGAGTACAAGCGACACGATGGGACCACTCATAGAGGGTAGCAGGGCCAGACTCGCCTACAGGGGCGTGGTTTGCGCAAAGTAAATGTTTTAGCGGGAACTCATAGCTGCTGTTTCCATGGACCCAAAGAGTTCGAATTTGGTAGGATTACAGCTTTTCGTATTAATAGTGGGGCCACGGCCTTTTGATATATGACGGGATCGTAGGTACCCGATGACAGGAACTGATAACATGTGATAAGAATATATAAGGGGCCTAAAAGAGCAAGAGCCACCTACCGACCAAAATCCGGACGCCTTCGGTACTTACGATGTAGCTTTGACTGTTCAGTATGTTTCGTTCATGGTAGATTAGGGTGACAAAAGTGGGTGGTGAGTGCAGCGATAGGGACTCATTACCTGCATTACGGTAAGCAGATAAGGATTTTGTTCATTTCTTGGTATTAGATTACGACCGCTACCCAGCGTTTGAGGCTAAATGAAGTGACTCAATGGAGGATGTATGTATGTATGTATGTATTTATGTATGTATGTATGTATGTATGTATGTATGTATGTATGTATGTATGTATGTATGTATGTATGCATGTATGTATGTATGTATGTATGTATGTATGTATGTATGTATGTATGTATGTATGTATGTATGCATGTATGCCAACTACGCGATGAAGTATTCCAACTACAGGGAAATCAGGCCGACACGGGTGCGCTTCATTGCGCGCGTCCGTCGAAACCAGGTCACGCCGCAGCCGTCAGTGGGGCATACGATTTGCGCTTGATACACGGCAGTCAGCTAAAGAGAAGAAAACACGCACAAATGCAAATCGTTCGCCCCACCGACACTTGATGGTACTGCAATGACATCCTGAGACCTCACTGGTGTGCGCCGCGCGTGAAGTGGGCGGGGTGACCTACTTTCAACGGACGCGCGCAACGGACGTTCTCCGCCCGACACACAACGAAACTGTATGAGCGTCTAGTCCACTCAAGATTAAGGAAACTCGCCCACATCTCACGAGAGCGGATCGGCTTTATGCCAGAACGGTCTATCACGTATGCTACCTTCATAGCGGGCAGATGATGGAGAAGTATCGAGGGAAGCGTAGATCTTGCTACATGGCTTTCGTCAAACTTGAAAAGGTCTCCGATCGTATCCCGCGACAGGTCTTCTGGAGAGCGCTCCGAGCGCTCCGAAACGTTCCAGAACAACTGATCAGGTGTTCTGGAACGTTCCGCTCTCGTCTAGAGTGCACCAGAGATCAGCTTCAATCCCGTTCCTTATGCAACTCATACTGGATGTCATCACAAGCGGGCTCCTGGATGGGTCACTTAAGACCATCCTCTACGCTGATGACATCGCTCTGATAGGGGAGAGCGGAAAAGATCTCCAGAAGAGGCTGCAGAAATTGCAGAAAGTGCTGGCGGATAATGGGTCTCTGGCTAAAGGTTAAGAAGATCAAGTTCCTCAGCTCCGAGTAGCGCACGGAGTCAATCGTAAGCGGTCTCGGAGAAGTCACCGAAAAGGTGTCGGACTCGGGAGCGATTAAGCCGCCGACGGTGGCGTGGACCAGGCTGTGAAATCCCGAATAAACGCGGCATGGTTGAAGTTGAAGGAGTCCACTGGAATCCCCTGCGACCGTCGGTGCTCCATGACCCTCAAAAAAAAGTGTACAGGGCAGTGGTGAGGCCCGCGATGATCTGCGACAGGAGTGCTGGGGCGTAGGTAGGAATCATGA